TTTCCATATAAGGTATGGGACTGACGGAAAGGTCTGTCACCGCCCCGAGCTGCATGCTGCAGCGAAGTGTACTTGAATATGGCGGCCGTACTGACGTGACAATTTCAAGAAGTTCACTGCAAACCGTGCCGACCAAGGTGTCGACGTCGACTTTCGAGTCTAGCTATTTTATGTCTATCTACTCCTGCCCCGCCCACGCTTTTAGCATTGGCTGGCTGGAATTATCCTTGCCGCTGATTGGCTGAGGTCGCTGCCTGTTCAGTGGGTATGTTTAGCTGATTGCATTATTGGAATCGGATTTACCTTTTTCAGGTCGAACTGTTCAGGGTTAATTGCCTTTTTTCTTGCTGCATTTCAGGACAATATTCATTTACCGCGTGCTTTAGCTTGCTAGCATCAAATTAGGGATCAAGTTCTGGATTATCGGTAAAGCACGGAAACAAACAAACAATTACCGAAATGTCTTCGGACCGGGCCAAGGAAATTTTAAAGGGCTTTAAACTGTATCCTTTTGTATTGTTTGTTGGTGATGCAACGCGCAGGTTTTACTGGATTCTGTGGTAAAATTGTTTATTTAACAAGCTTAGTTATCTCACATCATGAACCATTAGGAAGATGGTTCTGTGTTAGCTGCTCTGGCTAACCTCCCTGACCATCACTGCAACAGCTACTTATACTATACTGTCTGTATTAAGTACTTTACAAATGGCTATTAAAAACATACTTTGTTTGTACTTTACATCTTAATGTAATCAAACCTTACTGTTTATATAAATACTTTATGTCTAAATTGTAACAAACCCTACAAAGAATTGTACAAAGTAGCTACTTTAGATTTTAGTATAAACACACCTTACCCTACAACTGACAGTACTATCTACTTTACATCTTAGTATAAACACACACACTGTCCGTAGGAGTACTTTATACAAATATTAATGAGTGATTAAATTACTTCATATCTTACTATAAACACACCTTACTGTGAAGTATTTCACATCTGAATATTAAACTGTACAACTGACTGTACAGAGTACTTAGCATCTTAGTATAAACACACCTTACTATGTACATCTGAGTATGAACTTATACTTCTGGTGAACTTTACATCTGAGTCTAAACACATTGTGTCTGCATAAAGTACTTTACATTTAAGTACAAACAGATGTAATATGTTTTCTGTCTTAGTATAAACATGTCTGATTGACTATACGGAGTACTTTACATCTAAGTATTGACTTGTTGAGTGTAAGTACTTTACATCTTAGTATAAAAACACAAAGTCTGTTGGAATACTTTACATTTGAATATAAACTAATATACGTCTAACTGTATAAAGTACCTTTTTTAGTATAAACTAACATAGTATTGACTGCACCAAGTACTTTACATCTTAGTATAAACACAAAATATTATAACTGTACATCTGAGTATTTACAAAGCTTACTACAGACTGTAAGTACTTTACATCTAAGTGCAAACACACATTCTGTCTGTAGGATTAGTTTACATCTGAGTATAAACAAATTGTTTCTGTATAAAGTACTTTACATTTAGCTACAAACAGATGTAATAATGTCTGTACTTTATGTTTTCTATCTTAGTATAATATAAACATGTCTTACTAACTGTATGTAGTACTTTACATCTCAGTGTATGTCAGTGTAGTAAGAAGCTTTCAGTGTTGCTCGGTTTGGCAGCAGCCACCATAAAACTCTGTTAGCTCCTTCTGTAAGCAGATTTTTGTGTAAGTGTAATCTGTAGCTGCTCATATATCTGAAGTTAATCTGTAGGTGCTGCTTTGGTGTTGTTGTGTTTTAATTATGTATTACACAGTCTTTAAAGTACATCATCCAAAACGTACATAAGAGTCAGTGTCAGCGCTGTGATCTGCCTCTGAATTTGTAAATTTGGATCAGAAATGACTCAGCACTTACGGGTAAAACATTTCATCTTGTAGATTTCTCTGTTATGTGTCATGAAGCAGAAACAAAGCTTTAATTTCTCATGAATAGAGCGAGGCTGTGCACCCAGCTCCAGCCATAATATTACACTAGTTTTCAAACCAATGTTTTTAATTATCTCACTGTGCTTCCCTCTTTTCGTTGTGGCTTTATTTCCTCATCGTTTCCAGTTTATTTGGGACTGTGCAGACTTTCTGACTCAGTTGGTGGAGCTAAAGGCAGCAAAGGTGACAGGATCACCTGTTCTTTATCCCACCTGTGTTTCAGTCAGAGCCTCTGTGGTGGGAGCCTCGGCTGCTTTCTCCACGCTCACTGGTAGAAGGCAGGTTTTAGTCAGCCTCTTTGATTGACTGTTAAAAAGCCATCAAAATGTGGGGACCTGAAATTCACGTTTGTGTAAGAAACGTGGCAGAAATGCCGTGCCGCTCATGTGAGCAGCACCGCTCCTGCATGTGTTACACGCTCAGATTAGGAGCCAATCCGGATTTGAATGTAGAAGATTAAAGCTTTTTTCACGTTTCTCATTCACAGCCCCTGACAGTCAGGGTCTGCATCGTCCAAAGTGAACCTCCTCACTGAGTCTTCATCACTTTGTGTCGCTTATTAACTGAAGGCCAGACTTTAGTTTCATATTAATACATTTATATCTGCCCTCCACCAAAGCTTGTTTTTACCTGTGTCTGTGTGTTTCTGTGTTGTTAGTAAAATATGTCATGAACCACTGGATACATTTGAATGAAACTTGTCAGCTAAAAGCCCTGTCACATTAGACGACTTATGAACACTTTAAAGACGTCTGTGTTGAAGGTGGAATTGAAAAAAATCAACAGGAAGCTTCTTTTTGTCGTGTACATAGTGTAATTCGAACAAATTGATCAAATATAACTTTTATTTGCAATTTAGACATAAAAAGTGTTTCATAAGTTGGCATAAGTTGTCTAGTGTGACAGGGCCTTAAAGGGGCAATATCATGTAAAATCAACTTTTTCGAGTTTTATATCATGTTATAATGTTATACTCTCATAAAAACATGCACAAAGCCTTGCTTTGATTCATTCATGCATGTTTGAGAAATCCTGCAGTGTTTTTAGGAAGCCATGCTGAGGAGCAAAACGACAGGTGGGGACCAGGAACACCTTTTGATACCAGAAACACCCCTGGAACGTGTCTTTAAGCCAAGCTTCCTCATGGCAGAGCCCCCCCCCTCCCCCCACACCCCGCCCATGACTCCTGCAGGCTCTTGGGTGAAAGTGAAAGTGAAACTAAAACTGTCTGCTGCACTCTCAACCTTAGTTCTCACTCAGTGAAGCTCTTTTCAGATTAAAAATACCTTTGAGGAAATGTATTTTCAGATGCCAAATAAACTGCATCATAGCGCTCCCCCACCACTACCACTGGCGAGACAGAAGCCGAAGGTGGTTCTTAAAGAGACAGAGGCCAATTTCAAGGCGTTTAGAAGAGGAAGTGATGAGAAGATAAGTTTATTTTCTATTTAAACATAAAAACAGCATTTTAATAACARCTAAAGGTTACATAGATACTTTATTATGGTATAGTATTTAAATGTATGCCTGAGAAACACATAATATTGGCCCTTTAAAATGTTTTAGACAACCTATGCTGAATTGTGAACATTTTGTTATGACTAAATTACTTATATACCGTAGGTTATATATTTCATCTAATCGTTGGTATTAAAGTATGAAAACGTCTAAGAGAGGGTTCTAGATGAGTTTTTAAAATTCCATCGTCGACATAAACATCTTCAGTGTTGCCTAAAACGTTATAGTGTGCCAGGGCCTTAAGCTGCTGTCTGACCCTTTTGACCAGTATTTAATACTGGATCAAAATCAACTGGTATTTTCTCCTGTTGTTGCTCCAGTCTTTTCCAGGTGGCTAGCACCTGCTGTAGTACTGACTCAGCCCAACGAGCAAGCATCAAATCAATATGAACAACTCTGGATCTTGTGTTGACTGTTGGGTTGCCAGTGTTAAATACTTAATTATGGTGATGCTGTTGTGTTGGAAACCTTTCTGTCGTCAACATGATGCTTTTAACACTTCAGGCATTGAGCAGTTTTCTGATCCTTGGTGTCATCCCGGTTTAAATACTGAGAGGTGTTCTTGATGTTGCTCCTTTTAAAACGTTTTTTAAATCTCAGCTAAAAATATTACTACTCATAAATAGATTGAATGTTGATCTTTATAAATGTTCGGAATGGTTTAAAGCAAACGAATTGTCTTTGAATGTCAAGAAGGTGTGTTTTATTGTGTTTTCTGGGAGTAAAACATATAATAGTGATCAAATTAAAATTTATGTCAATGATGAAGAAATAATTCAGGTTTCATCAACAAGTTTTTTTAGGGGTCTGGATCGATGAGAAACTTTGTTGGAAAGACCATAATGGACATGTCTGCAAAAGAAATTGCCAAATCTATTGGAATTTAAGCAAGATTAGACATTTTGTTTATAAATCTTGTTTTTTAATCTTATATTACAGTTTAATTTATCCTTATCTCACCTATTGTAATATTGTTTGGGGAGCTACATTTCCAACTCATCTGAACAAAATATTTATTCTACAGAAAAAGTTTCAAAGAATAGTTACTTTCTCGAAATTTGATACATCCTAGTGAACCTTTTATTATTCAAAACTATTTTATAAATTAAAACTGTTGAATATTTCCGATGTAAACATATTTCTTACTTGTACATTTGTGTTCAGAGCTCTGTATGATATAAATTGGCCTTCCTATATTAAAAGCTATTTTCATATGAACTCACAAATTCATAATTATCCTGCTAGGCAATCTTTTCATTTGTATCTTCCGTTATACAAATCATTGCGTGACCAATTTTCAATTAGATTTTAAGGAGCTAAAATGTGGAATTCTAATGTTGAACCTTCAGTATCTCTTTTTGTGTATAAAAATAGATTAAAAACCAAGTGATTTTAGATTTTTCTTATTTTTGTATGTATTTTGATGGATTTTATATTTTATTTTGATGTCTATTTTTGTATTGATTTTGTTCCATTTTTGTTATTTTTATTTGTGTGGTTATTTCTATTTTGTTTGTTTTTTTACTGTTGTGTTGTAGTTTGATTTGATTGGGAGTGGATTTTACATAAGCCTTTTTAGGCTTTTACCCTTCCCTTGCACGTGAAATATTTCATTTTTGCATGTATTTTGATGGATTTTATATTTTATTTTATGTCTATTTTTGTATTGATTTTGTTCCATTTTAGTTATTTTTATTTGTGTGGTTATTTCTGTTTTATGTTTTTTATTGTTGTGTTGTAGTTTGATTTAACTGGGAGTGGATTTTACACAAGCCTATTTAGGCCTTTACCATTCCCTTGCACGTGAAATATGTCATTTTGAATTGTTGTTGTATTCTTTGTTTTACTTCTTATGTGTTAAACAAATCAAATCAACGGTTGGACTCAAACCAAAGTCTGAACCTCAGATAAACGACATCGCTCCTTCATAGTGTAGAAAGGATGAAGGCAAGCGGGAAAAGAATAAACTGCAGATGTCTTTTATTATGTCATTGACATGTAAAAAAAAGGTCAGGTTCAAGTGTTGTGGGGTTATTTTATTTTTTTACTATTGCTCATTTGCCTGAGTATGTTAGTGTCGCTGGCAAAATATCTCATGAACCACTGGATGGATTTTTATGAAACAAAAAACAATAATTGGTTGTAAATTTGCAACTGATTAACTTTTGGAGTCAACCTAATTCAGAATGGCTACCACAGCTAATCAACCTTAGCCAAAACAATATGGATACATCACAGTCAGTGTTACAGTTTGAGCTTGTATTTGGTGTGGAAGCAGCTGAGAGTCCTTCACAACACTGAGTCTGAACAAATCATATTAATGCAATTGTGCATGAGGTTTTTTAAAAAAATATGTGTTCCTTCAAGCAATGTTCCGTGTTTGATACGACAGTTTTTCTCAGGTGACACAATGATAGTTCAGTCCTGAATTTGGTGTTCTTTAAAAACCAGCAGCAGGATCCGTGTCCTCCTCTTTTGGTTGTTTGCTTGTCAGTGTGCATTGCCAATGCAATGCACACTATTGTGATTCGTTTCCCATCCAAGTCAWBTCAACTTTGCCATGCTTCTCCTCCTGCATACTTTGTCCTAGAGCTGCCATTGTAATTTATATCTGTAAAGCTCCTGTGCCAAATGATGGCTATGCCTTTTGGTGCCTGTAAAACGTATAGTTTATGAAATATTAATGTTTAATGAATTATGTTGGCAGTCAATGGAGCCTTGTATTGGTCCAATACTGCCCCATGCTGTACTCAACTTGGTACTGCACCATAGTTTAATATTTCAACTCAGTAGTTCAGTGTTTACAGTACAGTACAGTACAGATGTTTTACTATAATATTGTCTTAATACTGCTCGATTGTTGTAATATTATGCATTTTTGTGTCAATAATTGTATTGGCAATGTGGCCTCTTTCTGCACACATACAAACCAACCCCTGCTACCACCTTCTGCCACAGCTCCATTGGTCTAATGGTCTATATCATGGACTTTCATGTGGGAGATCAGGGTTCAAACCCCAGCTAATGCAACTTTAACAAAACGTTTCTTCAAATTTCATATTGTCACACAATTACCTTAATTACAAACACCTGCTGATGTGACAGGCACAAGCTGGTATAGAAAACACATTTGAACTTGGTCAAAGTTCCTTCTGCAAGTCCAATGCTGTAGGCAAAGCCATGCTACATGGCAATGCACACTTGTTTTTACATCGTAAAAACCCATGTCTAGTTGTCCCTTAACGTTTGGTTGGTAGAAACTGGATGAATCTTCGGGATGCAGAGACGGGTAAAGTCCTGTGGCAGGGAACAGAAGATCTGTCCGTCCCAGGAGTCGAACATGAAGGTAACCTCTGCTGCCTCCGTGGTTCCTCTGATAAAGTTGTTCACACTTTACTCTGAAGACTCTCTTTAAAGCTCTGTTGTGTCTGCACGTAGACTCGAAGCATGAAAAGGTTTTAAACATGAAGATAAAACAGGTTTCTGTAGACGTTTTGAAAATGTACGGAAAATTCTTCAGTTACATCTGACGCTGAAAAGGGACCAGTTTATCAACAAGTGTCTTTCTAAAGGAAAAAACACGTCATACAGATTGGTCTTAATATCTCGTATTTGTTTTTTTTTCCCCACAGTTCAGGTTTTTATGTATTTATTTATCACTAACTGTGATGTCTGACCTTTTTCTCAGCTCGTGTCCCAAAGAAGATCCTTCAGTGTAAAGCGGTGTCCAGAGAACTGAACTTTTCTTCCACGGAGCAGCTGGAGAAGTTCAGGTTGGAACAGAAAGTTTTCTTCAAAGGACAGTGTCTAGAAGGTAATCCCTGACAAAACTCACAGATCTGCTGAACGTTTGGCACAAAATAGAGGTTATGTTACATCGTAACAGCTCCATGCTGTTATTGAAGCTCTATGCTTTAATAAATAAAACATTTTTATCGGAGAACTCAGGACAGATTATAAATTATCTTTGTCAGATCTTCTTACAGAACATTTAAAATGATAGGGTCAATAATTTAGTTTATAATAAATAACTCAAATGTATTAAAAAATTTTACACAAATTGTTATTTTTTTGCTGAAATGTAGTTTAAAGCTTGTTTTGTTATAACTTATAACTCACTTGTACCGAGCAGATTCCATGAAATCCAGTCAAATAAGTCTGACAGAAAATAAAACACAATAAGCAAACAAAAATCATTGTAAAAGCAAAACTTTTCATTTGCAAGCAAAATATTTTTGTATGAATTAGCGATGTTTAATTGTTTTCTTCTTTCTGACTGATGAGGCTTTTATTCTGACACGTTTGGATTCTGCTGCTGCAGCTTTTATTCTGACAGTCACGTTTTCAGTTTTGCCGACTTGTTTCTGTTTGACCTAAACATCTCAGGTGGGAGGGTCTTTTCAGAAGACTGCTCTCATTGGTTAGAGAGTTTTTGGGGGTTAATGAAATGAGTTCCCAGTTTTTGTTACTGGAGGGTCTGTATGACGGCGTTTGAACTGTTTCCCACACAATGTCAGTGGTAGTTTTCTTTTGATCATGTCATTTATCTAACTGTTTGTGGTTCACATTTTTAAGTAAAGTCAAGCTAAACTTTATTGGATATAATAAGCTATTTATAGTCTATCTAGCTGCATTTCAGTGTTTACCGGCAGAAACAGAACCAACAGTAATGGTCTGTCTTCAGTCCTGATTAGATATGAAGCTACATGTTGGACCAAGTTTCATTAGATCTTAATGGAGCTACGCCATCGATGTTTTCATTCTCATCTACTCTATAATCCTGTGTCCCAGCCTGCAGTCACATGTCTGACAGTTTATCATCTGTGCTGGGCAAAAGCTCTGATCCAGTGGCTACATTGACTGTGTGACATTTAAAGGTTTACCCTTTAAAAGTTTAATGATTGGGTTAGAGTGTCTGTCATTATTTGGCCGTTTAGCAAATAAAATAGTTTTATTTGTGGTGTTACTGATCTACAACAGGAAAGGTTGAATCTGATGTTCTGTCTGTTTCTAAACGTGTTTTGCCACTGAAATATATATATAT